AGTTTTTTTTTTAACTTTGTTTATTTTATAGATTTTAGCAATAAATAGAAATAACGAAATTCTCTTATTTCGATATTGATGACAATGTGAAAAAAATATTGGATGATAAGAAATACCAGTTATTGTGTATTCCATATGAAAAATTTTAAAATATTGAAGAGAGGATTTGTAACAATTTATCGCGCTGTCTAATTGAGCATAAGGATTCTTATGATAATATTCATTCGCACTTAAAAAAATTTGTGTTCAAGATTTCTTTGATGAGATAAATTTATTGAACTTTATTGAAATATTAAATATATAAATTAGTAATTAATGACTTTTTTAAAGCTGAAAGCGTTTTGCGAGATCGGATATAAAAATCCATCGTTCTTAAAATGTTATGGATTATCAAGAGACGATTCAGGAAAATATGTTCTTGTTTTGGAATATGCAGAAATGGGATCTTTGCGCAATTATCTTCAAAAGTATCGCAAATGAAATGGGAAAAAAATTAAATTGAGTTGTTGTCCGGAGCGAAGCGGAGGACACTGTTTTTACGACACTAAGTGATCTCCATTGTCACGTGAAGATGTCCGTCTGTTCATTGATGTTGATTGGCTGGATATGGAGATATATATGACAATTGCATTTTAGATTTATATTTGCTCCGGATACACAATGCTATGCATTTCCTAGTATAACGTCAGTTCTTGAAGCAATTCATTCGCAAGGATTCTTCATAGTGGAAATATTTTACTAAACGAATTAGATAACGCGTATATTTCAGATTTGTGACTTTTAATATGAAGAAAGAAGTATATGGAGTTTACCTTATATAGCAACAGAAGTTTTATCAAATAAAAATTTACAAAGGCGTAAGGTATTTACAGTCTCAATTATAATGATAGAAATATCAAGAGGAGAAAAAAGCTTTCAATGGTTATGAATTCAATAACGATTTAACTATGAAGGTTTGTTATGGATTGAGACTGGAACTCCTACTGTAAATATTATGCTGAATTAATTCAACAATGTACGGATTCTGATCCAAAAGAAAGACCTACCGCTAGATGGGTTAACGAGGTTGTAACTGTTTGATCGAAAAACTTACGAGTGAGAGCAGCAAATGCATAAATAAAAGAATTCTTGAAGGCTAATAATGTGAGCCCATATCCTGAACCAGAAGCGAAATCAGGCCTTGAACCAATAGAATACTTTGATCACAAGTAGGGTTGTGTTACGAAGTTACAATTTTAAAATACATGTATTTTTACGTAAATTCAGTAAATCAAATTTCATGTAATTTTTATCATGTTTACCAGGAACGTAGTGGAACGAAGTGGATGGTTCAATTCGAGTTTTGCGTTCGTACACAAAATCTTGATTCTGATTG